CAGAGGTTAGCATTTGATTTCAAAAGTGATCTAGAGAGAAAAATTTGGATAAAATGCGTATAGAAAATTCACCTGCTGCCACAGAAGAGTTATGACTTCTAAGATACTACTACCATTGGTTCTAGTCAGTACCGACCCCTAAGAGAAAGAGGCAGTTAGGACAGTGACTTCAATGTATGATAGTGACTTCTTAGTGGGCAGCAAATCAATTTACTGGCTCATGACCAGCATTAATTTTTCACAACAAAGAATATACTAAAAAAGAAAATATTGAAGTACATTTAGGTGAGTGAACAAGGAATTGTGTGTTTGTATTAATATAAGTTTGTATATGTGGCCAAGATATAAAATAAAGTCCCATTAAAATGCTGAATGCTACCATCATTGTTTCTTCTTTTCAAAGGATAACAACATGCGATCTACCACAGAGAAGCATTGTGGCATTCACTGACAGATCTACTTCCTTTAACAACATTCTCTCTACTCTGACTGTATTTCCCTTTCCCTACCTGCTGAAATTCACTCTTATTTTGACCTCAAAATATATTTTATTTCCTGATTGCAGATTAGGTTGATAGAATATGCTTTACCTTAATTTTAAATGCTTTATCAATTTTAATAACCAGGATGATTAATTTATCATTCAATCCAGGACACTTATGAGAGTAAAAGAGGCACTAGTACTTAGGTGTGACAAGGCAAACCAGTATGTACAGTCCCTCCATTAATAACTTAATAGAACTATGTTCTTAATATTGCCAGCATAAAAATACATCATTTAATTAAAACATTAGGCACAAAAAGCTAATCAGTAAAATAAAAAGTCCAGAAGTAATTAATATAAGCTACATTATAAAATTTCAATATTTAATGAAAACTATATAGTGTTCTTATTAAACTGTTTAGAAAATTAACCAGAAATAATCTGTGTGAGCATGTAAAACATTAAAGAGAACAAAATCTCAAAAAAAACCTACCATTACTGCATTCTATAAATAACTGGAATAAACTCTTGAGTAAGAAGTCTGCCTTAAATTTACGATATAGGATACAAAATAAACCCTTTGATTCTAGTCTGTTTTGATAAAGATTGATCGGGGAAAGGAAGTAAAACAGCTTCATAAATTATCTACAAGTAAAGACACATAAAAATTATTATTTGAACCTACCCAACAGAAGATAAACTGAGACAGTTCTCAGCAAAACTTTGATCTGTGAAATTATTCTTTTATGACAATTTAACTGTCCTAAGTCTGCCTACCTCTTCCAAATCTCCAATTCTAAACCTTTCCTATTTCCTCCATCGGTTCCTTTTATAAATATCAGGGAAGATGTATTTTAATTTATATTTATGACCCCAGAATTAGTTTTGTTATTATGCAATTCTTATATTTTAAGCATCTTCTGCTCTTATAAAAAAAACAAAAAAGAACTTCTTAGGGCTTCTGATTCCTAGTTCTGTTTCTACTTTCCTTTTATTCTGGCATCTCTCCTTTCTCAATTTTCCACCAGACAAATTGATGATAGCCTTCAGGAGATATGCAAAGGCTATACACAGAAAATTTTTTATCTGAGAATGAATAAGTGCATGTTTCTGGGATGGGGCCCATAGCTTTCATGAAATTCTCAAAGATGTTGGTGACCCCAATAAAGACTGAGAACCATAACATCAGAAGTATTTAGGTCACCAGTAAACAGGTATTTTGGGAAGAATAGGGGTATCCTTTTCAGCGTATTCAGGATACTTGAAGGGATTATAAGTTAGAAGATATATTTTGCTTCCCTCAAAAGGTCACCAGTTCCCACAGAAGAGACCAGGAGCTGGTGGCTTCTAAGAAGGCTTGAAAGTTTATTCTATCACAGGTAACCAAAAGCAGGCCTTTACCATTTAGTCTGGGGGTATCTAAGCTTTGTATTCAAGAGTGCCACACAACTTAAAATCCACATGAATTAAGACTGCTTAAACTAGAAATATACATACTGGACATGGTTAGGAAGGCTTTATTCCCACCTATTTTTCCTTTACATTGTTCCAATTTTGTGATATACTAAGGTAAGATTTTATAAAAATGAATTTGCATTTTATTCATTAAAAGATCATGTATTCTTGAAAAATGATGCCTTTTACTCATATGAATTAACGAATCACTTATAATAACCGAGTGGAACCTTCTAGGGCCATAGGTTATTAGGACTACTGCTTTATAACAGTGATACTGATATGGGGAATAATAGGTATGTGGAGTTTGCAAATATAATACAGAATTCTCTATTTGGAAAATAAAAAAGTTAATAAAGCTTGATAAAAACTTTTCAGTTGGCATGAATAAGCAGCAAAGACATCTGTATAGCTCTACTGATCAAGATTTTTTTTAATGAGGGAAAAATGTTTCAGAATTTCCAAGAAAAAGAAGCATTAGTTTTTAAAGTTTGTCAAAAGTGGCTACTGGGTGTGGAAAATATGACCCTAGGCTTTCTTCAGTTTCTCATTTTCCTTTTCTTTGCCTAGGACTGCCAAACACACGCTTTCTATTTCCTAGTACTTCTAATATTTTGGCTAGTACTTAATCATATTTTTAAAATAACACCCTCTTTTATTCTTGAGGACCTAAATATATTCTCAGTCATCCTACGTTACTTTTCTCTCTGACAATGAAGATTTTTTTTAGATAATCTTCATAAATGCATTCTTGGTAAATGGAAATTTACTACCAGTTATTTATAGGTAATTAATCCTGTGTTTTGCAGAATTTTCAGATGAAGTAAAAGCATTTTTTTAGTGGACTAATAAAATCTGGACTGGAGAGATCTTGCCTTATTGGATATCTGCATAATCTGCTTGAATAATCAGAATGGAACACTAAGTCCTCCAAAGTCTAATCTAGGCCTAAGCACTTCTTGGATCTCTGCTCTTTTTAATTAGACTCTTATGTATTCAATCTTCACCAGAGTACTCCCCATTTTAAACCCACCTTCAGGCCGGGTGCGGTGTCTCACGCCTGTAATCCCAGCACTTTGGGAGGCTGAGGCCGGCAGACTGCCTGAGGTCAGGAGTTCGAGACCAGCCTGTCCAACATGGTGAAACCCCATCTCTACTAAAAATACAAAAAAATTAGCTGGGCATGATGGCATGAACCTGTAATCCCAGCTACTAGGGAGGCTGAGGCAGGGGCATTGCTTGAACCAGGGAGGTGGAGGTTGCAGTGAGCCAAGATCGCGCCACTGCACTCCAGCCTGGGTGACAGAGCGAGACTCCATCTCTAAATAAACAAACAAACAAACAAACCCACCCACCTTCGTTTTAGAATTTTCAATTGCTTATTTTTATTTCAATTTCTTATTTTAAAAATAAGAAATTCAAAAATAGGCCGCCTGTATAAGGTAGAAAACAGTGATTAAAAACAAAGATTAGGTAAGATAGCCCTGATCTGAATTACAACCTTGCTACTTATTAACTGTATAAGTTTGAGCAAATTAAGTTCTCTAAGTCCTAGTTTCCTATAAAATGGAAGAGAATTCCAGTACCTACAACTTGTATGGTTGTTGTGAAGATTAAATGTTATACATGTAAATTGCATGGCATAGTGCCTGACACATAGTAAATGTTCAATAAAGGTTAGCAAGTATGGTAACTAATGATTTCCCACTTGTACAGTCTCTTATTTTCATTGTCCCCCACCTCTAATGTCTGCAATCACTTGCCAAGCCTGATAAAGGTGATAAAGGTATATAAAAATTATAATCTCAGAGTAGGAGGCCTAATCCAGTAGACTAAAACTCACCCCGCTCCTCTCTTTTTAATATAAACCGTCAACATTCATCCCTGGTCATTTGTATATCAAGTTAAGGAAGAATGCAAAGAAGCAGAAGACACTAGTATAAATATAAGTGGTTTTTTGAAAGCAAGAACATATTGGATGTAAGTTATAGGACACAAGGAAGAACAAAAAAGCTGGGCAAACAACTAGAAGAAAGAAGGAGGCAGTGATCTAAAAAAGAGCAAGAGAAATAAAAAGATTGGAAAGAATTTTAGGCAAAAGAATTTATGTAGATCTATGTCAAAAAGAGGGTATATTTTAAGATGTGAAGGAAATGAGATTTGCTGAAGCAGGGTAGCTTAAAAGACTACAAATGAAAAGTGCAAAGCATCTTGTAGGTTATAAGAAGCATATTACATAGAAGTAAGCTAATCAAATTTTCACAGATGAGCAGTATTAAGAGGTATCTGCAAGGTTAGGCTAACCAACCAAAAATAACACAGAAATGTGCATGTTAACACTTATGTGCATAGCTAAGTTTATTAATCCTTAATATATTTAAGAAGTATTAAAAGAAAAATCTATTCACTTGTCAACACAAGCCATTATTAAGGCTCACCCCTTCAAAGATCTAATCTATAGACTAATGAAAATTCATTAGTTTGCTTAGTTTACTAACCAAGTCTACATTTTGAAATATCCCTATAATTTCCTTTGCTAAAAGGATTTCCCCAAGCTAGAACTACAATATTTTTATGCTATGTTGCCCAGGCTGGAGTGCAGTGACTATTCACAGGCACAATCATTACACATTATAGCCTCTAACTCTTGAGCTCAAGTGATCCTCCTGCCAGCCTCATGAGTAGCTGGGACTATAGGGGCACACCACTGTGCCTGACTAGAACTATAAAGAGAGGTGTTTTACTGGAATCTAAAATAAATTTAAAAATCAAAAATAGTATTCTAAAAAAGAAATGGGATTAAGGTAGACTCAAAAGTTCCACACCTCTTGGGTTAATGTTTTTTCCCCAAATTAAGTCAATAAGAGCCAAAAGAAAAAGATTAACTAGCTTAGAATTATATCTAACAGTTTACAAGCTGCTGAAATTTAATGTGTATTCAGACTCAACTGCAGCTTACTAAAGAAAGCTATAAATATGATCTGAATTAACACCAGTCTGGTGGGAAAAAAAAAAGTGTATTGTATCAAACAGACTTGCTGTGATATCTGTTCAAACATACCTGTACCAGTCAAAAGTCCAGCACTCTTCTTTCGTGCATAAGCGCGTAAGTGGTTGGACAGGCTAACAGCACTTGTAAACGTCGTATTGCAATGCACACATGTTCTAAGCTTCACAGGCATACCTATCATTCAAAAGAAAACTATAATCCAGTTCTCACTTCAAAAAGTGAAATTTTCTTAGCTTAAAGAGTGTAGAAAAGCACCACAATAAAGATGGTTTTCAAAACGTTCAATGAAATAGGTTAACTTAAAATAAGGAGGGGAAATTAAGTTAACTATTATTAGTTTGTAGTTAGTGTTTAGAGCCAACCCATGCTCTTTGGAAAGGTAGAAGAGGAGTGACTTGAACCTTTGAGCTCCTCTGGATATAACACCTATTATCACTTTCTTGCAGATTTCTGTGTTACGCAGATTATTTCTTAAACCTACTAATATACAATCCTGTGATTTGAACACCACGGTTCTGTTGAGAAGTTTCAAAGCTTACAACATTACCAATAAAAAGAATTTAAAAGTCTAGTTGACAAAGTGGTAATTAAAGTGTTTTACCCACAAAACCGTAAAAGTCTCAGTACTAAATTAGGCTTTCTGATGAAGGCTGGGAGAAAAGGTGGTAAAACACACCACTGAACAGCTGTTAGACACAACATTTTATTCAGGGTATTTTATGTTCATTACTCTGAATGCGCAATCAATAATGAAAGTCAATGATTTAAAGTTTGTTGCTAAAATCTTTGTGCTAAATAAATGATCAACAAGCTAACATCTTAGTCATCACAGAAAAAACATGTTCAAACAATAAGAAACTCCTAACTTCTCAGACAATCCTCACTCCCCCAACACATTTCAATCGGTTTCTTCAGCATTACTGTGATAGCCACAAATACATTTTCCATCTCTGAAGTATACTACCCCTTGTTCAACACAGCTAACACATCTTATCCTTCTGAAAAAATATTGAAAGCTATTGACTTTCAGAGACTCTTTATTAGAAAGAAAAAGCCATATTAAACAGAAGCTCATACAAGATAAATTGTTTTCCAGACCACTTACAACACAAAGTCATCTTTCCTTAAATCAAAATTGCATTACAACTATTTGGGATATCACAATGTTTGCCCCAAAGCAAATAAACAACATTACTTTACAGTAACGTTACTTGTTATTAATCCATTAACTATTACCTCCGACACATTCAACTTACAGCTCTAATCATGAGACCATTTACATAAACCTTCAACATTATTAACCTTCAAAAAGAAATCTAGAAAAGACACTTAAAATTTTTCTAGTCTAAAAGTATAAACCAGACTTGGCAATACTGAATAAAGTTTGGCTACTTTATCTGCCACATTATTTGCCAATACATACAAAATATTCCTTTCAAAAGGAAAAACTATTGGTGCACAAGCACTAAGCTAAATCATCTGTTCTGTTCCATTACAGCACCATCTTAAAACCTAAAACCCCAAACAAATATGTTTTATGTTCACACCTGTTCTCCAAAACCAAACTATCCCGCAATACAATGAGGAATTGGAGACGGAGATGTTTCTTTGGGTTAATCACAAAGACACCAAACCATTTAGCTTTAAGAGTCTTTTTTGTTTTACCTACGCAGTGGAAAACCCAACAGCTAAATCTTGAAAACATGATCACCTTGGAGAACTCGCAAAAATATGACAGAGGTATGCCTTTTCAATAATGCTATGCTTTTGAACATTATCCACAACCATCCTCCAGCCACAGCAAGTTTTATTTTCACAGATCAGCTTTTTGTTTGTTTTTTTTTGTGTGTGTGGTTTTCTTCTGCTTTTGTTCTCACCTTACATTCAGACCAAGAAAAGAGGCACAGAGAACTCAGTGCTAATGAGCATCAATTGATGAGTTATACAGAAATGACAGTAGAATAACCAATCTGTGCTCTGTAAAAAAAAAGCAGCTTAAACAAGAAGACTGTGAGAAAGTATTTTCCGCATAGATTCCATTAAAGAAGGCATAATTGAACTGCATTTAAATTGTGTATAGGATAGTCATAAATGTCCTCTTACCTGAGTGCATAGTCAAGTCCATTTTTTGTGGCTGATACATCAACGGACTATCCTCATTTAATGGAAGAACACATTTCTGAACGAATCTCTTTCTTGCTGTCTGATTATGGATCTTTTGCGGAGAAATAGCAGAATTCCTTTCTTCTCCCATCCTTTTATTTTTAAGAAGTTCTATGAGTGTAAGAGATTGATTCTTTTTTCCACTGGGCAGTTCAGGTTTTGTTTCATCATATTCATTTAAGAAATTCAGCCCTTCTTCTTCTGATGCAGACACTGACAGAGCTTCAGTCTTTAGGCCATTACGGTATGCTTCAAGAGGTATAACATTTTGAGATATAAAGTCATCATTTGATGCAAGTTTTTGAGCTACAAATGGTCTGGGAATAATACGACGACTGTTCAAAGCCTTTAAGATTTTTTCATATTTTTCTTCATTTTGCATCATCTCATTCAGAACACAGATTGGAGATTTGTGAGCATCCCATTTGGTCTTTCCAAGTCTTTTCAAGTGGCCTCTAACATGATTTGATAATCCAATTTTAGTATCAAACCAACCACCACAGAGCTGACAAGTGTGTTCAGAAGTGGTTTCAGACTTCTCTATAGCTAAAAAAAAAATTTTTAAGAGTAATATCAGACTTTCTTATATAAACTGACCACCCTAAAATGAGTTAATTCTGAAACATAAAATTATATGATTCTAATGGAGACCAAATTCAAACAGAACTTTTAAATCCTCAGAATTAGAACACAGACCTATTAGCCCAAATTATTCCCATGGAGAACTTACCTTTTCTAACTCGTTTAACAGGTGTTCCTGTGCCAGTTCTTTTGAAATGCTGCATTTTGTCACTTGTGGCTATTTGTTCTGGTGATACAACGTGACGGGCTTCATAGCTTAATCCTGCTCTGTGAAGATGCCCCCGGACATGATTTGATAACCCAACACCTGTTTCAAATGTTGCTGGGCAGTAAGGACATGATTTCTTCTCAAGAGACAAATCAGTCCAATGAAAAACAGAACTATGCTTTGACAATGAAGCATCTGCAGTTTCTAAATGCTGAGGATCATGTATCTCATGCAAAAAGTTGTTACTTCCAGCATCTTCATAGTATTCAAAATAAAAGCCATCATTTTGGTCATAACTAAGAGTAGCATTTTCTCCAGGCTCCTGACCTTCCACTTTGCTCTTAAATAAAGGGAATAAATTTACATGTTCTTGATTAATATCACTATAGGTTTCATCTTCTGTGGCCTGTGTAGTGTAGTCTCCTAACTCAACATTATCCCAGGAACTTTCATCTTCTGTTTCATAACTATCTTTCTTTTCAGCAGAATTAAGTTTTTGCAAAACGACAACAGTCATTTTATGCAAAAAATCTGGATAGCTATCCAAGTCTTCCCCTCCAACAGAACTTTCCTTCTTAGATTCCTTAACTACTCTCTTTACAGCTACACGTCTGTGATCTTTGAAGCTTTCAGGTCTTTTGGTGTCAGGCTTATGAGGGTCTGAAATAAAACTGTTGTGAGAATTACTTGATGATGAAAACAGGTGTAAAGAATTTAATGAACTAGCTTCTTCTTTTTTGAAATGCACAGGATATGATTCACCTGATTTTTTTATCATCCTATAGTTTTCATATTTGTGTCTATACAAATAGTTGCTATTTGCCTTGGCATTAGACTTTTCTTTTGCTGTTTGATGAAAATACTTAGGTTTTTGGTCAATGCTGCTTTTAACTGTAACATTCTTATGAGGAGAGCTGTTTTGATTGCAAGTGTTTACGCCTGATTGGGCAATGCTTTTCCGAGCTTTCTGTACTCTGTGTGGCCGCTTATGGATTTTTGAAAAACTACTTGATTGTGAGGTTGATCCAAATGTTCGCTTCACATCTTGTTTTAAAGCAGAGTTCTTTGGAAACGTGGTTGACTGTTGTTTAGTTAATGGTTTAGTGCTATCACTATCTACAGGTTCTTCAAGGATGTCATTTTTTCTTTTATCAAGTCCAAGAGGACTACCAAATGAATCAACACATGATGATGAATGCAAGTACTCCATGTGCTTTTTTAAAACACTTTTGGCTGAAGTAGTAAAAGGACACATCTTACATACGTAGGTAGCTGATTTTTTGGACGATCCTACTACGGAGTCTTTCATGAAAGTCTTTTTTTGTGTTTTTCTCTGGGCTATATCAGAAGTGACCAACGGGCATTTTACCACTGCCCCATGTGCAATGCCTCGATGGCATTCTAATTCATTTTCTGTCACTGCCATGAAGTTACACTCTTCACAGCAGTAGTACCTTTTATCTTTTTCATGGGTTTTAGCATGTTGCACAAATGTTTTAGGGCAATTGGTACCAAACACACACTGAGGACACTGTAATCGTGCGCTTCTTCCTTCATCCTGAAGTTCTTTCAATTCACGAATTTCCTCCATCAACTTCTGTCTTCTCTCCTGGTGAATAATCATATGTTTTAGAAGTGAATTGCGATCTCGAAATGTCCGTCCACATTCTCTACAAGCATATGGCCTTGGGACATTAAGATGGCGAAAGTGACTATTCCCATCTAAATGATACATCATATGCCTGTGGAGGTGCTTCTTCTCCCTAAAATTCACATTGCACTTTGTACAGGGGTAGAATGATGGCTCTTCGGTACTGAAAGTAGCAGGTGACTCAGAATCACTCTCTTCACATTTCTTTTTTAAGGTATTTGAAAGAAAAGTGCTAGTATGAACAGGTGAACTCTCTTCTCCACACTTATCTGGGTTATAAATTAGATGTTGGAAGGCATCCACAGATTCTAAGTCTTCATCAGTCGATTCAGGCTTCACTTTTGATAAAGCATATTTCTGTGGGTCTACTGCTTGTAGCTCTTCATTTTGTTCTAGAAAGTCTACTTCTTGCATTTTTGATTTATTGGGTACACAATTAGAATCACTAAAGCAATCCTCAGTATAACGAGTTATCTTGCTTACATCCATTTTTCGCTTTCTTTTTTTTTCTAGACCTACTTTAGAATGAGGTGGAGCTTTGTCTACTGTTTCCTCATTAGTCATAAGAAACTGAATGAACTCTTTTTGGGGATCCCAGTTTGTATCATTTTCTGATCTAAATCCATCTGTACCTGAGGAAATTCCTGTTACTGTATTGACACAATCATCTTTTACCAATAAATCTTCACCATCCTCACCCACCTCTACTTGATTTATTAAAGTGCCATCTGACTTTATATTACTCCCTACTGAATTCTGAATGTCACAACCAACTGAAGCAGAGGTAGGTAGTTTTTTATTGGAATGGGTGGGATTCTTAGCATGTGCTACATCTGATAACAAAAATAAAACTTGGTGTTGACTTGCTTTCTGTGGTGTAGACAGCTGAAGATCAGCTGCTACCTTCAAAGTTGAACAAGATTCTGTTGTTGGCTGATCCACAGGCTGCCCAGTGGTTAATGAAACACTGCCTTTATTCATATTGGAAGTCTTAGTTAAGGAGGAGTGTGAAACTGGTCCATTAACAGCAGCTCCTTTAGGTAAGATAAAGTTTTCACTAGAAACAGTAGGAGCACCAGCATGTATAAATAGACTAGACTGGCCTCCGCTTAAGGCGTTTTCAGATTTGTCCTTTGACAGTTCTTCAGGCAGAGTCAATGTATTATTTTTCTGAAATGATGTCTGACAATCTTTTGGTTTATGAACTCCACTCTCCTTGTCTGAGATAAAATTGTTGTCATCTAGGAGTTCTTCTTTAGCACCAGTAATATCGGTGTTTATCTTCAAATCATCCATATTGTTGGCAAGCCCATTTAACACATTTAGTCTAGAAAATGGAAAAAAAAAATTTAGATTTGCATGAAAGAAAAAATACTATTAGAATGTATGGAGAGTTGAAAGTACATATTTTTATTAGTTTAATTTTCTACTCTTTATATTGACATTCTAATAATTTTCCAAGAATGAAAGAACACAAACATATTGAAATATTTAAAAAGCACCTCAAAGGTTAATATTGTTCTTCATGCTAGGCAACAACAACAATCCAATACGTCATATATACAAAATGTCTAGAGAAAAGCAACATACACAAACATACTAGGGAAAAGCAGCATACACAAAGATACACATATACACACAGACACAAAAACAATGTAAATATGCTACAGACTGAAAAAATTTTAAACCACATGTAGAGATTGCTAATACAAAGAAAATTCTTTCACTTAAGTAGGTTTATCAGAGGCAGTCACTCTATTCGAGAGAATAATATAAATTATCAAATACTGCAGAGAAATGAAAGATTTGTCACTTATAAGTTCATTCCTGAAGGAAGGTAACAAAACGCCATTCAGTAAAAAACTTTATTTGAATGAACATATTTGCTATCAACATCAATGTTTTATTGTTAAAATGCTTTATTCATAGTTTTGTTCATTCCTTATTCAAATTAACCTTAACTATAATTTTAACTTTACTAAAGTTAACTAAATTTTAGTAAAGTGAATTTCAACTTCACTAAAGTTAAAATTAATGAAGTTTCATGTCAAACTTTCATATGTGGGGCCCCAAATTCCAGGCATTCTTTAAAAGCAGTTATCCCATTTTTGATCTGGTGGTCTAGTGCAACGGCCTAACACATTTTACAATAAAATAGCATAAACATATGTTTTAAATTTATTTCACATAAAATGTAGATAAAACTTTTCTAGGCATTTTTGATAAGTTATTTAATCATTATGAGAAAAAAGTACAATATTTTTAAAGCAAATAGTATTTCTGAATATTTGGGGTCCATTCATATGATGACTTTATGTAATGACTACCCTTACTATGAAAAGTTCCCTTGCAACCTGTTCTTTTCCTGCTCTTAGAGGACTGGGAATGTAATCTAGTCACTATCGTATCTCTAGAACCTAGTACATCACTTGGCATTGCTCAGGCAATATTTGTTGAATAAAAGACTGAGTAAGTATTGGATTAATAAAAACACAATTTCAAAATCAAAGTACAAGTTCCTAAAGTGTAAGAAGAAAAACAGTTTTGTTCCTATGAAATTTGGATACCCCATTCAAATACAAGTTCCATCAGGTTCTGATTTATTAATGCAGTAATTATAATAAGGTCTTCAAATATCCAATAATTCTCATGTACAATTTAAAGAACCTGCTATTTGGCAACCCCAGGTATTAACTAATTGAAGTATTGGCATAAGCTTCCATATTTCTTCTCCTTTTTTGCAGTTATTATCCAAATATTTACTAAGCACTTAGTTGTGCCATGCATTGATCCCGTATTCCAGAAATAACGGTAAACAAGACAAGTTAGTTTCCTGCTCTTAGATAAAGAACGAAGCCTGTATATTTTTCTTTTGTAGTATTTTTAATTTGCATAACAAGTAATATTATTTTAGGGCAACAGGACCTCACAATCTAACATTTACAAATCAAAACATGTTCAATAAAGTTCAATATTTTTACTATCCTTTTAAGGGTACCAATTTCATGCTTTGTAAAACATTAAATCTAATTCAAGAATAATAAAATTGTTCTTACCTTTTTTGTATTTTATAACTTAGAACAAGCATTTATAATCTTATTCTTTCCATAAAATGTTATTTAATACAAAAAATATCTATTACCAGTATCTTTGACATTGTTATTTATACCAACAATTATTTTTTCCACCCCTCATAGGTTTTAGAATTCTGTTCTGAGATTGGCAAACTTCTGGTATGGTGGTAATAAAAATAGACTTCCAATAAGATCACATTCAATGATATCACTCCAAAATGGTGCTAATGCATCACCCAGCAGGAGTCTCTACATCACACACACAGAAGTTAAAAATGGGCAGCACATAAACATGTGTTAGGAAAGGGTGTGCAAATGTCAAGGGAAAGAAAAGCAAGCCTTAATGCTACACTTATTATTCATTCCTGATATTTCTCATTAAATTAGGTAGAAAATATAAAATGCTTCAATAGCAACAATCTCATAAATCTGAAATGAACGACAAAAAACTGGCTTGAAAGACAGTTACTTTCCTTTATGTTCCCACTTACTATAATCACAGAGGTGGACAAATATATGCTCAGTCAATTTGAAAGCCTATATTAGTTTTTCTCAACAGGAAGCAATGTTGCTAACGAAGTGGTAAATTCAGTGTTAATGAGTGGCTTCACTGTTACCACCTCAGAGGTAAAACCTTCCATGTTCTATGTCCCACCCATCTGTTCTGGTGTTAGAGGTTTAGAGATGGAACAGACGCTTCCCATTTAAAGCAACTTCATTGGTACCCCCTGAACAGCAGGGTGACAAACTATGAGAACATCATGTCAGCTTGGAGACTGCATCCTCATTACCAGAATGGCTTTATAAGAGCTTTTCATAAGTTCACATTCTGAAGATATCAACCTGTTTTGTTCAAAAACATAGAAAAAATATATGTGCATAAATGATTTTATCTACAAAACACATCTAGCAAAAAAAATCCGATTAAATATATTAAAATATAAAATGAAGACTTTAACAATTAAAGTTTTCCTTCACATCCACATGACATGGCTTACTTACCCCCAAATTAATAATTATCTCTACTCAAAAATAAAAGACATTACCTTCTGCATCAGTTTGAAAATATGTTACAAAAGTTGACTAAGTAAGGAAGTTTTCTAGGTCACTCGGTAATTCTGATTAGATACAACCTTCCTGTCGTCAAATCTATACTGTCCACTTTTTGTTCATGAGTAATTCTTTACTCAGAGAAAATTAGCTTAATTTTGTTCTTTTATGTACATTATTAACTGTATTTACTATAAGTAGATTAACATTTTGTGGGTACTTATTTTAGAAACAATTAAAATATTCAGAATATATTCTAATTATACAATGCTCCAAATACACTCCTTATTAATAACAGTACTCAATACTCATAGCTGTTGTCCTGAGATACCACGCAGAACAATGGATCGTCAAAATCTGTTGCACTGAATAATGGATACAGAATTTTAACACCATCAAAAATTATTTTACTACATTCATGTTGGGTTATGAGGCATCTAGGCAAGAAACTATTTGATCTGAGTTAATTTTACACCATCTCAAATAGTTTTTCAACTACCTTTGTATAGTCAAATGTATATATAACAGAGACATCAATACCAGTTTAGGTTACTATAACAAAGTAGGAACATATTTGAAGGTGGGCATTATTCACTAAGTTTAAAAAACAGAAGCTAATAAATTAAGATAGATAAACTGTTGGACTCCTTAAATTTCAATTCAATGAATTCAATGAATTAGCTATATCAATTAAGATTTTAAAACAATGTTTAGACACCATTACTAAAGCTTCCCCAGATAATCATATAATCATAAAATTTTTCATTTAACTGAATTTTAAAATGTTCTTTAAAAAAATTCAGACACCTTTTTAAAAAGCTGCAAACAGAACTTTAAATCTACATAAAATATATTTCAATTGCTGGAAAATCATAATGAGTTTTACAGCTATAACTGCCTCTAGTTATATACTGTGAGCATTAAAAAATTGTACAAAGGTCAGATCTGTCTTCAAGATGACAGATCATCACTTATATGCCTCAAGCTAGACTTATTGTCTCAGAAATCTCAAACATCAGTATTTTTGCAAACTATCAGCACTTGCTATAACACCCTCACTACACTACATCTTGAGGTTACTACAGAAGAAATGAGGTGATAATTGCATATTAACATAATTATTCTGTAATCCCTCTGAGCAAGCTTCCTAGGTCACTCAGTAATTCAGATTAGATACAACCTTTCTGTCATCAAATCTATGCTGTCCACTTTCTGTTCACGAATAATTCTTTTGTGATAGAAAATTAGCTTAATTCCATTCTTTTATGTACATTATTAATTGTATTTATTGCAAGTAGGTTAACATTTTGTGGGTACTTAACTACATAATGCCAACCTTTGCTGTGTCGTATAATTTCGTGCAAAAATATAGTACAATTTGCCCTCATTGTATATTAGTTCATTAACTGCTATATTACACTGCTATAAATAAATTATAATGCTGCCCACTAGCTGAGTTATAGTTAGGATCTGTCAGGTTTTCACAAATTCTATGTTCATTTAAATTATCCTTGCAAACACATGACAACTTCAGTTAGTAATGTATGAGACTGGGTCAAGAAGAGAATACCATTCACAAGTGTCAAACTACAAAACGAATCTTAATTAACTGAAATATTACATTTAAAATTATTGCAGCATTTAAACCTATATATACCATACACAATGTACAAACATATATACCTAAATCTCACCTAGTGCACAATTCAAGAGAAGATAGAGTGTACCATCCAGGTAATAACTTATTCTAAATGTCACATTGAGAAGAAACACTAAAAAAATATAGAACACTTATAAGGGTATCCAGCATGAGACTGACTCTAAAACCAAGCCAAATAATAAAATGGTTCAGAAGGTTACCATTAGGCAAGAATGGTTCTTGCTTACTTGTCAAGAACATTACAGACAGGAATATGGAGTTGGGGACTGAATAAGATGATTTCTAAGGTCCCTTCTAATATGTACTACAAATGTTTAGTATTTAGTTATTACATAATTAACATTTAACATTATTTGAAATAATGAGCTAAAAACTGAAGAATTGCACTACTGAGCCTTAAAAGTATTCTCTAAATTCACAATTACCTGAAATAATCCTTTAGTTAACTTATGATCTGTCAATAAATTGATTCTTGAACAGTGAAAATATGGCATTAAATGACCAAGACACTGCCACAGAGCTAACTGTGTCATGAAAACTCAA